GAGTGTAATTTATCTTGTTGCACTTTTTATTTTTTTATTTTTTAGCTCTTTAGTCAAAGTATTTTCCTGTAATAGCAGTAAGAGGTGGAAATACATTTATCCTCTACAGGAAAGCCTATTTATTAGGCTAAGCTATTTCACAACCTGAGACAGTGTCTTAGTACTGAGGGCAGTACATTCTATATATATTCAGATTTTGATTTATAATATATAATCTGATTTTGGTATATTTTTTTTAGATCTCTATCTAATAGCAGAATGATATGTTACTGCTATTTTTGTAAGATTAAAATTAGTAAATTCAAACTCAGTTTCCAGATTACAATATTTTTATGCCACCGTGGCACTATTGTTGTTCTTACTGAAAATGTCCAGAACAATGAATGACAGTCAGTGATGGTTGCAGTATGATGTGGGCAAAATATCTCATCAGACAGGGTGCTAATCTCTCTTATAATAATAATAATAATAATAATAATAATAATAATAATAATAATAATAATAATAATAGGAGCTCCCTGATAGCTGTTATCTAACAATTCTTCCATAAACTAATTACCTCTTGTCATTTTTTAGAAAATGTAGACTCTCACACTTCACTCCCTGTGTTGGCCCCTTTCTCCTTCATGTCTACAGTATAACATGCCCAGGAGATGTGGCTAAAGTTTTACCTGGTTAAAGATCCTAAATAATAATTCAATAATTTGGCTACTGTTTAAGATCCTTTGTGGTTGAGACATATCACAACAGGAGTCAAATAAGTGCAAACAGAATGATTTTCTATTTATAGTCCAAGTGTCTCTCTGTTGTTGACGTAACGCTGGAGCGTAAGATTTCCAAAACACTGTCTGCTATAAGCCTTAATGTTAAATGTCTGCCTTTCCTTTTTGTTCCCCGTACATGCACAAAGCTCCAGGGAGGAGGACTCATTGTCTGTTGTGTTGCCAAAACTTTAGGGCACTCTTTCTTTCCCTAGCAGCAAGGCAAAGCCTCAAACATTGTTTGCTGTGTGATCTGTTTTGTCTGGCCAGATGGGACCCATCATGACTAAGAAAAGCTTGGTCAAAACAAAGTGACCCAAAATATTGTTTTTAAAAGGAAGCTTTTATTGGCAGCTGTGCTTATTTAAGAGCAAGGTTTAGATACAACTTACGTTCCTTGATTAAATATCAGATTTATTTGTCAAAGCCAAATATAACTGATAAATTAATCTAAGCTAATACAGTATCTGCCTAAAAGGCTAGATTGTAACTTAATTTCCCTTAAATTTGATTATGCTTAAGTTATAGCATTTTTTTCTTATTTTCCCTCATTAATAACTACCAAAGTTTTGTCTTGAGAATCATACCTTGTGTTTCAATTATGTCACAAATCAAGTGACTCCTTCTATAATCAGTCAACAAATATGATGACCCCTCATGTTAGACACCCCAATATAAACCTCTGCCCTGAGAAATGTACAGTAACTCAAGGAACCCTTCCTTAAAGGCACACTATGCAACATTTTTCAGTTAATTAATGTGTTCCATAACGTTTTGGATGATTAAATTAGTCATTTCAGGTTGAACAAAGGTATTCTCGGCCGCCCTGGTGGTCTGTGGGGGAAATGCCGCACTTGCAATTGCAGGAGCACCGACCCGCACCCACAGGCTCAGAAGTCTCGTGAGAGTCAGTCTTGCTTTACGGCCGAGAACTGCTACACCCCCCAGTTAAAAGCATTCTCCTTGCTAGCACAGTGGCGATCCTTGTGCAGTTATGCTACGTTCACGCAGCAAAAGCAGCAAAATCACGTCTGCTGCTTCATTTTTGCTGCTTGTACCAGTTAGTTCTGACGTGCTGCTGAAGCAGGTTTGCTGCTCTGGCTGTGCGGTGCAAAAGTGTGTCTGACGCGCGTTGGGCGGAGCTTCACTATCCTTTCTCTGCCTTGCAGCTATATTTGCTGTGATCATTTGGAATAAAGTAGTTTTAATATGTGTTTAAATGAGAAAATACACCTGAAAACGTAATCAGTGCCGTCAGTTCATTCAGATTATTATCCTGCCTTCAATATTTTTTCTGTCGGAGCCGCTCAGACCCCCACATACCAGCGGTGCGCCGACAGAAGGAACCCCTTCATCAGCAGCCTCTGGCCAGGTCACGTCCTCGCGGTTCACCACGGCAGCTGGTAGGTGTTTTTCATCTAAATAATCCAAACTGCATATTCTGCCGGCAGATTTCTGCATTTTAAGTTAATTTAGGCGTCAATAAACTGTTTAAGAGGAGAGATCATAGCCTCTGATCATCAGCGCTGTGTCTCTCTCCCTGCTTCAGCTGCTCAGACGCGCTGGGCCTGCTGCTCCTTTGCTGCGCCTTGACGCGCGTCAACCATTGACTTTGCATGTAAACTCGCTGCCTCTGTCGCGCCAGCTGCGGTGTGAACGCAGCATTAGTCATTCGTTGCGTTCGCCTGTCTGCTAAGCTCAAAACAACCGCGCCTGGCTTGACGGAGAAACCAGGAGAACAGCTGTGCATATTTACGACAGTGCACTTTTACTTTCGCCCTCTGGGGGGAGTCTCGCTGGAAAATCAACACCGGTTGCATAGTGTACCTTTAAGTATACTTATTTACTCTATTAGTGGAATAGATTGCCCACTATGAATCATTGACAATAACTTAAAAACAAACAACCAAAATGGATGATTTATGTAGAAATTTAAACTGGTAGGCATTTTAACATTTGAAATGATTTAACACAATCACTACTGTACCACAGTGCACAACCTTGATATAACACAACCATAGTGGTTACCAGGGATTACACCCTGCTATAGGGTGTGATCCCTTATAATTTGAACACACCATCTGGTTTTCCTGAATAAGAAGGGGGACCAGATGGTGCGTTCCAACTATAAGGGATCACACCCTATTTTAGGGTGCTGGAGAGGAGAGTCTGGCTGATTACTGCACCTAAGCTTCAGGAAGAGCAGTGTTGTTTTTGTTTTGGCAACAAAACCAGTGGAACACTGGGCTAGCTCTAAACTTTCTGAAGGGTGCTCAATGCTGCTTGGGAGTTTGCCCAACTAGTCTACATGTGTTTTGTGGACCTGGAGAAGGCATTCTACCGTGTCCGTCATGGTGCTCTATGGGGGTGGGGGGGGGAGCACGATTTTGGTTCCTATTGCCGGCATTAAGTCGGACCTGCTACTGATGCACGTTGGACTCGGACAGGGTTGTTTCTGTCAACTGTCCTGTTCTTAACCTTTACAGACAGGATTTCTAGGCATAGCCAAGGAGTGGGGAATGTCTGGCTTGGGACCAGTGGATTTTGTCCATGCTTTTTGCAGATTACGTGATTCTGCTGGCTTTCTTCTGCAAAGACCTATAGTGCATCATGCAATGGGGCAGTTCGCAGCTGGATGTGATGCAGCCAGAATGAGAATCAGCTCCTATAATTTCAAGGCCATGTTTTTTTTTACTGAAAAAATGGGGCTTGTTCCCTTAAAGAAAGAGGAGAGTTCTTGCCTCAAGTGGAGGAGTTCAAATATCTTGGAGTTCAGTTCACAAGTGATGAAAGAATAGAGTGGGAGACTGATGGACGGATTGGTGTAGCTCCTCTAAAATGCGGATGAGTGCAGTCTAGGAGTCTCTGCTGAGATTGCTGCCCCTGCAACCTGGTCCTGGATAAAGCAGAATACTACTAGAATAAGTATAAACTTGTAGACTTGACTTGGACTTTTCCAAGACTTGAGACTGTTTGCCCCTTAAAGACATATGACATAATCTGGATTTTGGGAAGATATCTTTAAACTTGACTTGAATTTAGCTGGAATGGACTCATCCAGTTCGGTTATCTTGGGCATAGAAGGTAAAAAAAAAATATGGTTAAACTTATTCAGCAAAGTTCTAAGACTTTATTTGGACTGTCTCTTGAAAGATTTGGGGCTGGATATATCTCCCCGGCTTAAATGGATTTTAGTCTTTCAATCTGCATAACCCCTTATTTTAGCTCAGTTTTCCTTTACCACACACCTGTGTATCAGCATTATATTTTTTATTGTAATTTCTGTATATGTTTTTCATCCAATAATCACCTGATTAACCTTTTTATATACCATATAAATCTTAATTTCTGTATAATTACCATATAAGATTACTCACCAATTAAGTTATAGTTTGTTTCTTTTTGCCAGCTGCACATATGCTTTGCTTCATATAATTGTCTCTGTGCAGTAACTCATGCTTTAACTTGCTGGGCAGATTTCCTTCTGGCATTTAAATGCTCCCTTAATTACACACCAGGTGTGTTTCTTATTTTGTGTAATTAGTGCACCACCCCACTGTGACAAGTGAGTTTTCCTGTTGCAAGACTAAAAAAATTATCTTTTTGACTGGCTTCAATTAAACAAATAAAACATAAGTGTTGTCTAAGTGAGTAGATTATGTTGCTGTTATTGTGTGGCTGGGCATACAAACCTATGGTTGTTTTGCTGATGGTGAGGTTGCTGTTTAAGCTGTAGAAATTTGCCTAAAAGCACAAGACAGCACAATTTAAAATGTCAAGTTTTATACTGCAATTTGCAAAAATGTACTGATATTAACCTCTGCAACACCATACAAAAATACTTTTATGATTGTTTTGGAAACAAGTAACACCTTGCCCTCTGTAGTATATATCATATACATGAATATATATTGTTATGGATGTATTATCTGAAATTCTAAAAAGGGAAAAAATAGGAGAGAAAAGAAAGAGGAGTCTCTACAGAAAACATTGTTCAAATGAGATCAGTATTACTTTGCAATAATATGATAATTTAATGTCTTTGATACGATAATCCTGCATTTTTCACTTGGTAACATGCACGGCACTATCAGCTGAACCAATTGTCTAGGCCACATGTTAGCACCACATGTCAGGAGGATCAATGTTGTGTTATTTATAATGTTTTTGATCCTTTGTTCAATTTATAGTTTTTTTTCTGCCTTTTCCCTAACAGTGTTTTATCTGGTTCTCTTCCAGCTGCTGAGTCAGTGAGAACATGGTCATGAGATGGGGAGATGGTGACCGCAGGCTGTGGCGCTTGGTGTCGTGGTTAGCAGCTGCCGGTCCTCAGTGACCTAAACCGTTCTGTAAATTCCTCTGGGTACAATTGGATGAAGTGTTCAAAGGAAGAATAAAGTGGAGAGGTTTGAACGGCAGTAGGCAAGACTTTAATCGATGCATTGCATCAGAGGACCATAAAAACACCAGCTGGAGATTTATGTTGTTAACTTCCTCCGGTGCTTAAGTTTGTTTGGCTTGTTAACAGGTTTTTGAGTTCTGTAGGAGATTTTTTTTTCAACAGTGGTCTTAACACTTGGTCATGCCGACTCTGTTGGAATCGCATCTGGTTAAGAAACATGGCTAGCAAAAAATAGGAATTAGTTCACGAAAACATACATTTACAGGACGTTCCTTACTGCTGCAGCTATAAACAAACCAAGAGCTAAAAATCCTTAGTCAGTCTTTTTCTAGCAGCCATATGGTCTCAATCTGAATTTTTTTTTTTTTGTTTTTTTTTTTTGGTGAGGGCAAAATGTCTATATAAAACTATTCTAAGCTAAATCTCCTTTAGCACAATTAATGGCACCCCTGCTGTCTAGTCATGGTGAACGGCAGTTACAAGTTAGTCTTCATGTACATATTATTTCACAAATGTGGAGCACAAAAGAAAGGGGGATGTTTGCCTTTAGGAAATCTCTGTAGATTGTTCTGTTTACTTATCCTTCATTATTTTTTGTCTTCTTCAGCACACTGACAGTTTTTTTTTATGTATTTACTGATTTTTTTTTTTTTTTTTTTTTGATTAACTATTTCTGTGATATCTACAGTAGGACATACAGTATTATGAAGTGGACATTATTTAGGCTTTCTGGCAAATATTGCACCAGACATTTGTTTGGATTATCCGCGTATTTCAGAAAATACATTGTCATAATCTAAAACAAGTGTTTCAGAGCCTTTGTATGATAAAAAGTACAATACTTAACTCATCTGACCGCATAAGTCCAATTGAAGTGTTTGTAGTTTTACTAAATTCATACATTCATATTTGGAATGATAGAAAAGGAAACACTTTCATTTTTATCCCAAGAAGCTACTCCTTGCTGCCGTTCAACAAAGTAAATATTAAAGATCTTCTTCTTTAGTGACAAGATAAGGTGACTAAAGCTAAAGAGTCACAGCCTCAAGCCATAATTATAACCTTGAGAAGCAGACAATAATGGTTTCCTAATTAAAAGCTCATGTAAGTTCTGACTAAAAAGTAAAAAGTAAAAGTTTAGAAAAAAAATGGTTTAATTAAATATATTGAATGTGCCTTTTTGGGGGTACTAATAAAACAATAATATAGTATTTTAAGTGTGGAATTATTCTCCTACTAAGAAAAATATAATTAAAATGAATTATGCATTATTGAACTGTCTTTAGAAACAAAACAAAAACAACTTCTGTTGCCCCAGTTTCCTTTGGAATGTATGGATATGTGACTGCATTTGATTATATTAAAATGTTAAAATGTCTTATTATATTGTTATATTGTTAATGTTAATGTTTAAGCTATTAGGTTGTTACTGATGCGGGGCAATTTATTTTGGTGTTCAGAAGGTTTGTGTTCCCTCACAAGATTAGTGTTATTTGACTTAATTTAAAACTTAAATCTGCTGCTCTGTTGCCTTTTTATGCTCCTTTCAGTTATTTTTGCAAGAAAGAGTTAATTTATGTCCTAATGTTCAAGTGCAATGCTATACAAGTACAAGGCTCATTAAGAAGACCTCTGCAGCGGATGACCTCTGCAACTAAATGTTCACAAAACCCATGATAGTGCTTTTTTTTTTTTTGTTCATTTGTAATTTAATGTCAGACTTTGCTTCAGACCTTATTTTTGTATTGAAAGCCTTTTGCATTATTTTCCAACAATATTCCATCCAAATAAATGGTTTCCTTTAACTTACAAGCTTCAAGTGTGTTATTACCATTTAGTGCTGGCTGCCTACTTATACCAGATGTAGAAAAGGGACTGAAAACTCATTGTTGTTGTCCAATCTGCTTCTTTTTTTTTTCTAAAGGAATAAGTTCTCATGCAACATGGCAATCAGCCTAAATGGCGCATGCAGGAGGATGGGAAAAACACGAGCAGCTCAGCTCTTATTTGTGTAGCAAAACATGCTCACAGGCTGCCTGTGAGCATGTTTCTGTTATACAGTAACAGAGATGGGGGCCAAGAAAAGAGAGGGACTGAAATGAACAGGTAAGAGGGTGTGTGAAAGAAGCAACAACATAGTGTGTCAGGGTGTGAGCAACAGAGTGGTATTTTGGTGCCCATAAAGTTCAATGTGTTCTTGTTTTGAATTTCAGGGAAAGTTAATCCTAGCAGCAAAAAAAGAAGAAAACGCAAACTGAGTTTGTTATCTCTAAATGGACAAAAGTAATTTTTTTCAGATTATTCCCACATTCTGTGCAAACTGGTCCAGTTTAATAAACTCTGAGCTAGAATTAAAATCAGTATCATTCAATTAGGGAGAAAATTAGATAAGTAGGTATTTTTACATTCTGATAGTTAAACATTTAAGATCAAGAGCCCCAAACATACACCTGGAAAAAAACTAGTTTGCTGTGCATAACTGTCCTTTTATTGGGGTTGTCCAGTTCCTTCTTGTCTTTGTTTTCTTCCCTGTTTGTTTCTTTGACTATTGAAATTCAGTTCTAGGTTCCAAACATGGGGCGATTGATCAGTTAACGTGGTTATGCAGGGAAGCAGCATGTATCAGAATTTCAACAAATGTGCACTAAATTGTCAAAATAATGCCTTGGAAATGTAGGTGGCACTTATTTCTAAATATACATTTTATCAGGAAAAAAAAAAAGTTGATTTAGGGTTTAAAAGTCACTTAAGTGACTCATAATGATAATAAAAACTTCCTCCTACTGGCACTCCATTTTAGAATTAAATTTAGGAAAGTATTTAGACAGAGGGCAGACAAAAAAGCAAACAGTTCAACAGTTGTATTACAACCGTCTTCCGCAAAAAGAATTATTTTCTCTGATTTCCACATTTATCATTATTTTATATTGCCAATTCTACATTTTCTTGACTTGCTTATTGGAAAACCTGTGTAAAGGCTGATTTGAGTGCATTCAATGTATAGTCCAATCTATATTCCAAGCAGCACAGACATGCTGCACATACATAAATATCCAACAAACAGAAAAAAACCTACTGATGCGAAAAAGGTGAGCCTTGCAAAAATATGTTTTCCTATGTTAGCATAATTTAGGTGTTTGCAAAGGGTTTTTTGTTCGCAGTGCGTTCACACACTCCATTTTCTGTAATTGTAGAATTTATCTTGTGCAGTTTTTTTTTTGCATCCTTGTTTTGTATGTGCTTGTTTGCTCATTGTTTGTGTTTACTTGTCTAATATTTTTGTTTTGGTAGCTGCTGTACATTTATTTGTAATGTGTTTTCAGCTATCACCTACCATAAAATCAGAACTGGAAAAAAAAAAATGGCAAAAAAGTGCATAGTGCTGCAGAGTGTGGTGGAGGGGCAAGCAGTATAAAGTCAGGGTAGAAATAACTGGTCATATCTTTTTTACTAGATACTAAACTTTCTATCTGACGGTTTTCAAGTTATTTTACTGTAAAGCATCAGACTACAGTAATCAAAATTTGTACAATTTGTTAAGTTGGCCTTTTTGTATCCTTGATTATCCTTGATTTACTAAGAATGAATGAACTTTTATTGTATGGCGGTAGGCCACAAAGAACTTTTCACTTTGCTTAAAACATTATTTTGCATTAACAAATGTTTTTGCACGCTCCTGAAAGCTTTAAGAAGTAGCTTTTATGGCTTTTATGTTATGATCAAAAAAGCTGATGTCCATGTCCTCACTAAAACCAAAAAGTAGAGCATATCATCCCAGTTCTAAAGTACTTACACTGACTCACTGTATCAAAGAGAATAAACTCTAAGTACTTCTGTTGGTTTAAAAATCACAGAATGACTCGGCTCCAAAATAAAACGCACATATTTGTTGTCAGTGAATCAATAGTCTTTAACTCTCAGGTCTTTTAGCTCAAGTCTGCCACACATACCTAGAACCAGAACCAAAAATGGAAAACTCATTAGCAGAATCTGGAACAAACCAAAGAAGACTATAAAAGGGCGGAGCTATTAAGTGTTTTAAATCAAATTTGCAAACCCGTCTGGCTACTCCTTGCATTTTTCTATTTAAACTGTTAGAAATATAATTTGTTCAAGTTTGTAGAGCAACCTTTTCTCTCCTTGCATTTACTGTGCCCTTTGAATGCACTTTTCTACATTTTTCTTCTTTCATGTTCAGTTCTGTTCATGTACAGCACTTTGAATTATCATATGACTGAAATGTGCTGTACAAATTAAATTGCTTTACCAAGCTGATAAATCGATGTTTAGTCTTTTTTCAGGTGTACTGTATGTAGCTTTGAACCAGTCAGAAGTCTTGATAACCCACAACCAGACCAAGACTGTCATCTAATACGTCTTTATCAGGAAAAACCTCTCCAGATTTGAACTTATCTTTTGGGTAACGTAAAGGTTCTAAACCTACCATTATTTTCTAATCACAATCTTGATATTATTAAACTTTCTGTTTCTCCTTAGAACAGAATTATGTTGTCTGGTGCTAGACCTGTTTTAAAATTCTCAGTAAGAACCTGTAGCTGACTTGGCTTGCAGACTTCAGCGCACTGGTGCTTGTAGAGTTGAAGATTACCATCACCAGGTGCAGTTAGTGACATCTGAGACAAAGAAGAGTGTATGGGGACACATTCCAGATTACAGATACTGAACAATGCCAAACGCTGAGCTGCAGTTTGTGAAGCATAAGAGGTGCCTCTCAAAGACTTTTAAATCTGATGGACATAAAGTTATACATTTAAACAATTTGAATTTTTCATTTTATTGAAGGATGGGATAAGGACTCTTATCTGCACAACACAAAAAACACTAATAAACTGTTACTGTAATGTATAGCTTTACTGGGCAACTTTTAAAGGCGCTAAGTATTTGGTTTTTAAGTGAGGTTTTAAAATATTTTTGTAATAAAAATTAGCAGAGAAAAGTCATTTGGTTCTGTCAAACTTCTAAAAACAAAGCATGAAACTAATTAGACTTGCACTGTGAACAGTTCATTAGCTCAAAAAAAAAAAAAAAACTTGTTAAAAGTTTTGGTTAGACCAGTCCTTAAAGGTCAAACCAATGAGAAGCATGGGAGGTTTTTCAGTTACTGAGGACAAGGGTTAGTTAAATGTCATCTGTACTTATCACTGTTGTTTATCACACTTCAAAATATCTAGTTATAAGGTAATTATTTAATTATTTCTTCTATGACCTTTATTGCAGAAAAGAGGTGTGCAGTATTTAATTCATGTCTTGGCCCTTTTATGATCTTATTAGTAACTAGTAATGACAAACAGCTGAATATTTTAATTTTGTTTCCAAAATATAATTCAGAATAGCATTTTTTTTCACTTATTAGGTTGCAGGTTGAGAAGTAAACACTAAAAAATTGGACTGAATTTCCTTTCATATTAAAAAAATTAATAAAATCAAAAGTAAACAGTAATGGATAGTTAAATGTTTACGTTTAACAACTAATTGTTTGAATATACAATGCTATAAATGTA